ACAAGAAATCTCCGTTTTTGCTGGTAAAGAACAAGACCAGATGCTGTCTGTGCATAATTAGTTAAATACCCAGTAACTTGGTACAAAAACATCTTACCCAAAACAAGGAACAAATTTGTAAGTTTTTTTAGAAGTTGTGCCAGCAATCTGAAGCTACCTTTTTGAGAGGTAATTTTCTTAGCTTCACATTCAACACAAACTCCTTTAATGTGTGACAACATGTTTGTCTTCTATTTTTAATACTTTCCAGCAAGGAAAGGGGCATAACTCTGGAAAACAATAACTCAGAGTTATAGGACCTGTGCTCATTATGTTTGAGAAAAATGCATGAAGTTTCAACTCATTCATTTCAGTAGTTTCAAGATACAAATTGTGCAAAATTTAACCAAAGAGGGCTCGTTACTAAAATGTTCCCTTTTTGATAGTTAGCTAAAAAACAAAAATGCACGATATCCTAACTTTGTTACAAGACCTTGGTTCTATGAACTAATCACCAGACTGGTAAATGACTTATTTTATGCACCAAAAACTTTTCATTTCTGATACCAAACGTGACTCAAAAGCAATATTGCTAGAAACAAAAGAAGTTCTCACTTATTACACAACTGACTGAAAGGTATAACTGTACTGTCACCATATGTAATATTAATAGATCATGACTTTTCAACCCAGGTGGTTAAAACAACCTCCTGCTGAGGTGACCACAAGTGATTCATTTATCTTCACAGTTTCAGGCCTATCCTTATACTGATTAAACATAAACTCAAATGTCAACAAATATTTGGAGAAAAAACATAAAGAAGTCCAAACACATGCAATGAGGTTCTGTTTTACATAATAATTACCCTCTTTGTCAAACTACTATATGTACTTTCTAGCTGGCAGAGTACCTCAGGTGCCCCTCCATATATAAAGGATAATAATGAGTCTAAGTTCAATACTGAATTTATTAAACTGTAATGAGTTCAATAAATTGTGTAATGAACCTAAACAGCTATAATATTCTTTTTATTGCACACCCAAAGAATAAAGACTGTTATAAGTGAAAAAGAATTATTTTTTATTAGTGCCTAAAGTGTATTGCTAACATTTAACACGTCGTTACACAATATATGTATAACCCAAATGGCATCATGTCAAAATATATGCATGGTCGTGCAATTCCGTTTTGCACAGTATGTCGTTAATCATTATCAACACAACGGCGTACCAGAGTAGATCCACCAACCTTCTGAGGCTTGCCACGTATCTTCCTTACATGAAAGAACTAATTAAAATGAAACCCTAAACAGGTACAGGCAAGTTATTCTTTGTCAACAACTTTACCATTCCACAGTGACGACTTCAAGACAAATACAAAATCTCTCCAATAAAATGTTTAAAATACCCGTTATTATTGTCCTGATCTAACTTTGATTTAGGATTGGACGTTGACGTTGCAACACTCGCGTACGTTCTCGCTTTCGAATCCACTTTACTAACTTCCTTCGTTTTTACGGGAAAATGTTCTTTAATCCATCGTCTGTAGTCTTGAACCTCTTCTGTAACACGGACGATACGCCCCAATATGCTGAAAATAGAAAATCAGTTAAAGTCCATTATACCTCCGAAATTATTTCTTTTTAATTTTCATTTACTTTTGTTGTCCAGTTAAAGTTTCCAAAAAGTTACTCATCGACCAATAACTTAAATCACCATTCTGTAGCTTGCTGGCAATAAGTAATGGTTAAAGATAGTGCAATCTGCAGGTCTGTGCAATCTGCCAAGGCTCGATACTACTGGTTATGCAATTTTAATATTTTGCAAATAAAGCAAACTACTGACAGACTGTTTTTTTTCTAATGTTTTTGTTTTGTTTTTTCACCATTAATGTCAAACCAAATTTAAGGAACCTAGACAAGCAGTTAAAACTACCAAAATTTGACTAGTCCCTGTGTGTTACAACCAGAAATTGTGAATGATGAAAGGTTATCTTATCACTGCTCTGTTATCTTATCACTCCTAGGAAACAATTTTGACAAATATACAAACTGACTGACTTAACCTAGCTAAAGACACTAACTATGCACAGATATTACATATATTCATTCATTACATATATAAATATATTCTGGATATAAATTTGACCAATATGTCATGCTTTTGCATAAAATATTCAAACTTTTAACTGGGTTTATAAAATATGAATTAAACTACAAATCAATTTTTTTTAAGTGTTGAATTTTTTTACTTATCTAGACAAGTGTAGGTTTTAATGAAACAGTTATATATAAATACCTTTGAGGTCCACTAAGAAGATGTCTATTTTGGGGAGCTAGAGCGTACTGTAACTGAAGGTAAGCGTACTCGAAAGCCTGCTTTACCTGCATTGCACCGTATGAACTTCGCCCTATATCATTGCCTGAAATTATATATAAAATATTCATTTATCAACTGTATGTAATCAATAAGCATATACTTGAAATATGGGTAACCTTGCAAAAATGTTATTTCTATAAAAGAGACTAGAAATGTGTCCATAGGACACCGGTGCCCCCACACTCCACTGTTTTGTCAATCTACTGACTTTAGGTCAAATACTTGTTTGGGCTACATGTGACACAAGATGAAAACTGAATTTTTTTTAACTAAGTCTAGGGCAAAAACTAATGCTTTCCAACATTTCTTAAAAATTTTATTACCCTTATGTCAAATACCTTTAGAGCTATGTGCGACAATTAATATAATGCACAACTTAAATCAAAACTAACACAAGTTTTATAAAATTTCTTTACAAATAACAGGAGATACAGAACTGAGCACAATCCAAATTTGTTGCCTGAGAAACAAGATTTGGCAACAACTATTTGCCCCAATTTTTTTCCTGCCATTATTTGACCCATGCGAAATCAAAACGTGAACAATATGGATCTGATCAGTTGTAGAGTAGTTAAGTGTCAGGCTAGTAATCTAAGGACTACTGGCTCTTGTCTGTTCAAATGCCATTAAAGGCAAGCTGTTGTTTCCTTGACCAAGAAACATTAAACCCATTGCTTGGCACTGGTTTGTCCCAGGATCTGACTACTAGAGTGTGTCTATAGCTTCCAACACAATCAAACCAAAACAAATGAGCCGCGTCACGACAAAACCAACAAAGTGCGTTTGCGACCAGCATGGATCCAGACCTGCTGAGCATCCGCGCAGTCTGATCAGGATCCATGCTGTTCGCTATAAGTTTCTTTACTTGTTTAGGGTCTGTAAGCGAACAGCATGGATCCTGATCAGACTGCGCGGATGCGCAGGCTGGTCTGGATCCATGCTGGTCGCAAACCCATTATGTTGGTTTTGTAGTGACGCGGCTCAAATTCTGTATTAACTAAACACAGACCTGGTGTGAGTGGATCCTCAATACACAGCAAGGAAGGCCTATGACCATTGTCCATCTCTCTTGTGATGTCATCCTTTGGAACATAGGCGCCCCCGTTTTTAATTCGAATACCTGTGTTGAGATAGTTGAAATGTCGACCGTACAGCTCGAAGAACTCTATCAACATGATGCCTAAGTTGATCTTTGGATTGGTGGCATCTTCTCGTGGATTCAACTGAAATAGAATGTGATTGCAATTACAGATAATGACATTACACTCAACTGTTTAACAAGATAAATAACAGTTTGTACAGTCATGCTACAAGAATTCACATTTTTTTCCATCACATTTGAGTGCACTTTGCATTCATCTATAACAAATATAGTCATAAACTTTGTTGTCATTAATCTATACAACATATCCTTAAAGCTTACTTCTAGAAAAGAAAAAAAATGTGACAGTTAATTTAAAGGCCTATAATGCCCTCGAAATGTTTTAAGTTTCATACTCAATGAAACACGTAATATCAAAGGCCAATTACCTGAACCATTTTTTCCTTCTGTTGCTCTTTGGCAATTAATACATATATAGTGATTTAGTATTCTGTATGGAAGTGATATATACTACTTTGTTTACATTCTGCTACTCTTATTACAGATTATTTCATATTTATCTTAACTATATAAACCAATGCTTGTCCTTTGTTAGGAAGTAAACATGTATTTGCATCTGAGGCATAATGTGACTTTAAAGCTCATCTATTACACTGCAAGGTTAGGATTTATTGATCTCTCACTTTTTTTATTGATTTGTATGAGATTTTAAATGATTGATACATGGTTTTAAAGTCATTAAGTTTCACGGTAGAATAACCCTTCAATTTTAAAATATATTAAATCAAAGATGCATTATTCATGATTTTGATTCGGATCACTGAACACATGTAGGCTGAATTCAGTAAGAATAATTCTTTATGATGTCATTACCAGTTAACAAACCTACGACTAATATATATATTTTTTTTTAATTGTTTCTTTGTTTCCCTATGGATTTTCACATCATCCAGCCCTTACATGTATGCCTTATAAAAGAAACATGCATGTTTCCTAAAGTGACTTCGAAAGAATAAGAGCTATGTAAGAAAAAAAATATCAGGAATCAAACATTCTAGAAGGTTCCCATCAAAAAATCACCAAAATACAACCGTAATAATTTTCCAAAAACATCTTTGTGAATGAGTTTCTTGTTTTGTCCATTATTTGTTTGAACTTAATTTCACTTGGTATGGTAAAGCTTCAATTTAGAAATGGAAAACACCACATAGGAAAAGTAGTACTTTGATTTCCATACAAAATACTTATTCACTTAAACTGTACTTATTGCCAAAGAGCAACAGATGTAAAAAAGATGGTTCAGATAATTGGCCAATGAGTAACTTTTTGGATACTATTAAAGTTCACCAATATTATATTAGAGCTTTTGAGAAACAAATATAAAGCATTTCTGAGGCATAATGGGCCTTTAAGGGGAAAAATGCTGGCAAAACAAGTTTTTCATTAAAACCTGCCATCAAAATCATACATGAAATGATTTTTCACCTACAAATAAATAAGACTTATTTGTATTGATTACCTATATCAAATCTGTACAATGAATATATTTTGTCGTCTGCAACATACAATCCCAGAATACCTTGAAATCATGAAGTCTTAGAAAATATCTTGTTTTTGTTTACATGTGTTTATGAATTTTTACCCGATACAGGCGCTCCCTTTATAGGAAAGCAGAATTAGCACTGTCTCATGGTGATAATTTCATGACAATATTGTATATATCTTTTTCAATATAACTAACATATCAGGCTTGACTTTTATCATGTACCTTTTCATTCAGAAGTCAATATCTACATTGTTTTTTTTGATAAGAGAATGAAAATTGGAAATTTAACAGCTATGGAAGATTTAGATGTTTGCTGTATATTCTAATAAATAAGCCTATCTTAGAATTACAGGGAATGAAATTTATGTCACAATTTCTAATCTTGTCCTATAAACTTCATAAATATAATCTGATATATTCATATAAAACATCTTTTATCTATACAACAATCAGTATATGACAGTTACAATAAAGCTGTAGCAAGAATTATCAAAAATGGCAAGGGGCGAGTTGGATGCGTGGGTGTGTTTTGGGGAGTTGGGAAAACAGAAACTGCTGTCCCATACTTATACAACATTTAAAGCTGCACACCTCCAGACGAGCCAAAATATCCAAGAAAATCAAACTTGAGAAAAAAGTACTAACAAATTTAAGTAAAAAAGATTTTAGATTCAAGTAAAACTTTCCATGTAATGTGTGATTAATGACTAATTTAGCAGTATATATCACCATATTCTTACTGTGTCACTAAAACAGTAAGAGCTCTTTTAACCACCATTCTTTAAATAAACCAGCAGCATGACCTTCTCAACAGTAAGAAATTTACAGAAGTGAGGGGATTTTTTATTTCAAATCTAAAGTCAGGGGCAAATAATATTACTCTTAGCCGGCCAGCCACAACTGAATCTAACAAAATTAAACTATGCCACCATTGCAGACCAAGATCAGCCGGAACATACAGTTCCATTTATCCTCAAAATGACCAAAGGTTTTGTTCTGATAATCAGACTGAAAGATGATTTTTAACATGGTAGAAGAAAACATCAGTGCCTTTAAAAGGAAATAAAGGGATAGGAAATTGTTGAATCACTCAACATTCTATTTCCACAACAATATGACCGTTGAGTAGGTGAACAATTATCTACTACAAGTGTGTACATAATCACGTATTTCTTACATGTTATTTCCTGTATTTTTTAATTTCAGAAAAAAAAGTGGCACCTGGTTAGCACCCATCTTAGGCAATTTAATAGCATTACATTGAACCCATAGGCAATTTAATCATATTCAGACACTATACCTACAAAGTATCATTACATTTGATAAAAGCTATTTCTCAAAATCAATAGGGGTCATCTTCTAATCATGAACAATCTCAATAACTAATGTAAAGACTGTGCCCCAAAGGATTATTAAGTTAAGACAAGGAATATCCGAAGGAAAGCCAGACAGCTGGACGGACAAGCTGATTCCAGTGGGGTGTAATTACACATTTATAACAGTATCCATGGACATAGTATACCTGTAGAAAGCTGACGGTCAGTAAAATGAGACTATAAGATGAGATTCCCCCTGTGAAGACTTCATTAAGATCCCGCTGTAGTAAAAACTGTTTCAATACAAGCACGAGGTACTTTAATATCGGGTATTCACTCATGAATTTCTGAAATGTATATAAAATATTTCACATATGATCATGTAACATATTTAAAGGTAAGGTATATCAATTCTTATATGCAAGACTCTCAAAATCTAGCACACTTTCATTGAATTCTGACAAGTTGGAAAATTTTATACTCTTATTAATTATGCTATTTATTATTTATTAATCAAACATAATTTTTTCTGGTAAGTTTATTATATGTCCAAGGATATTGGCACACATTTTAAAACAGATTGTGCTTCTAGCTGGAAGCTACTAAAAGAATAATAAAATTCTTTATAATTTGACAATTTTGAACTTTTTTACACACTTTAATAACAATACTCCTGTTGTTGTCTTTTTTAGTATATAAGGTAGTTGATCCTTTCATCTGAACAATTCATTACCATACTTAAAGCTGCATGCCTCAAGATGAGCCAAAATATTTCAAGAAAATCAAACTTGTGAAAAAATGGATGTTAAAAAAAGTAAAAAGATTAAAGTAATTATTCACATGTTATGAGTTGTTAATGGCGGATTTCGCAGTATAATCATATTTTTTTCAATGTGACTAAACACTTTAAGGGCTGTTTTTGCACTTTTGATATTTTTTTGGTTATTTACGTGGATTGAAGTAACATTTGCATTGTGAAAATTCCTTTCTTTTGTCCCTTCACAATAATTTACCAATATTCAAAGTTTTCATGAAAATTAGCATGAATCTTGAAGCAGGCTGCTTTAAAATTACAGGTCAAATTGTTGTTTTTTTGATTGGGTTTTATGTCAGACTGACACAGTGTAGGTCATATGGCGAGGTTCCAGCTTAACTGTTGGGGGCAGACCTCAGGTTCCCTTCCATGCACCATTTTCATGTACGAACGGGCATCTGAGTAGAACCACCAACGTTCCATAAGCTAGCTGGATAACTTCCCCACATGAAAGAATCCAAAGTCTGTGTCGGGATTCGAGGGGCTCAAATTGTTGTATAAATAATGTTTATATAATAAAATCATACCATGATAAGCTTGGCACTTTTGACACTGTTAGGAACATTAAAACTGATGTCTACTCTTATATCTGTTTGCAGATCTGTTAACTTCACAATCGGTACCTGAAAAATAACAAAAATAAACATTACTGGTAACTTTGACCTTAGGGTTTTTTTTCTGGCTCAATTTGATGACCGACATTGGGTCATGTTTCCAATGACACAAACTATGGCTTTTCCCCAATTTCAATGAAAAATTTCCAATTCAATGAACAAAAAATAAAGTAAGTAAACTTTTCGTCATTTTATTGCATTTAACTGCACTGTGCCTGAGAAAACTGTAACATTGCATTTGAAATTGCAATATGTCCTAATGAGTGAAATATAAAAGAGGTTTTATTAACCAAATATGTAATAGAAAGAGCACCTAAACACGAGGTTATCTGATTTGTACGAGGGGGCGTAGCCCCCGAGTATTAATCAGATTACCGAGTGTTTTGGTGTTCTTTCTCTTTTGTATCATAGTCAAACATAAAAACACGTTCCCTGTTGTTACAATATGAAACCCCGGCAAAAATGAACCAATGAACGAGCATCTAAATATGACATTTCTGTCGATTTCACTTTCACTGCCGTCACATTATGTAAACCCCAGCAAAAATGAGCCAATCAATGGGCACGCTCTGGAGTGCGGGTAACTAATATCCGCACTCCAGTTACCGCACTGTGCATGTATATGTATACGATTTAACCCTGACACATTTTCAACAGAAAGGTCTCCAAACTATGATACAATTAATTTTTATTGTCTTATTTGATTTATACAATATGTTCTATTTTTTTCCCAATTTGTTTAAAACATCTTTAAAATTCCCAATTCTGGGGGTTGGCAAGCTGAGAGAAAAACCTGGATCTGAACTATAACATTTTGTTTACCAGTCTATTTTATGAATTGAATGTGACAAATGACCATTGCTTAGGGAAGAATACAATAATATTTAAATGTTTACTTCATTTACATGAACATGCAAATATTTGGCTTCTTTCTTAGGATATTAAAACTGATTAAATATAATGCATGATAGCTATAATGACAGATCATAGATAATTGCTGATAAATATTTATAATCAATCGTCTCCAGGAAACAAGTATATTTTTAATTTATTCATATCCATCGTGAAAATTTCAATTGAAGTATGAGAACAAAGAAAATTGTCATCATTTATTCAACGTGGGGTTTTAAACTTGTAAACATTCCAGTTAAAAATAAACAATTGATCGAAAACTGCACCAAAGTTTTTTGTTTTTTTAGATGATAAAAAATGTGTGGATAAAAAAAACAGTAATAGTTCTACATTTCATGAGTCTTACAAAAATCAAATAATTTTAAGCTAAAGCACCCACACAATGCACCCATACAAAGAAAAGAAACTAACAACTCTGTCACTTAGGAACTATCCACATATATTCTATTTAATTAGCTAAAATTGGTACAGATTTCTGTTTGGTAGGGTCTTAAGTTGCACTGACACTGTCCAAAAGGCAGCATGGCGACTTTCACGCTACAATGGTGATGGCATATGCCCACCGGCTTCATTGATTAAATCAGGCGGAAGTCAAAACCCCTAGTGGAACCATCAACTGGCACGACATAGATAAAATATCTAAAAACAAACAGTCTTTACATACCGAAGCTTTGTCCAGCACTTTGATGTTGTCTTTATCTGTGATGCCCTTTTCTAACAGAGCTTTCTCTAGAGTATGAAGAGGTAATTGCTCCCATTTACCAAACACCACCAGGTCTATATCACTGAAATGAAACATTTAAGCTAAAGTAAATATGTTTTAAAAATAAGTTCCTGTAATACAAAGTTCTGGTAAAAGTGGCTTTTCTGGTATTTTTAAAACAAGACCTGAACTCTCATAATTGATAATTTTTGCAAATTTAATTTTTGCTTATTATGACCAAAAGATTACAAAATTGTAAGAATTGGTTTCATATTCTAATCAGCATCATTTTTGTTACAACAGGGTAACATAGTGTTGCTTACCCCACAAACACAAGAGTTCTTTTTTCTTGTTTTACCTACCAATAATCATAAAACAAATATACATGTATGTATCATATTTCATTTATTGGAATAATCAAGAGACAGAAAAGGACAGATATCAATGTCACCTACAGTATGTACTAACAGTTTCTATTTGAAAATTCTGTCAAGAGAATTGGGGAAAAAATAATCATATTCTTCTCACAGAAAGATAAGTCTTTAAGATGTTGAATAAGAAATCTGACACAATATCAGTTTATAAAATAGGCCTATAATATATGGTGATATTATACATTTCAGAGGACAATGTCATTGGTAATAACAATTATCAGATTGGTCAGTGACTTGGACACTAATATTACAATTAAAAAAAATTGACATTTGAAATATAAAGTTATTTAACGCTAGCAAAGCAAGTGACCTAGTTTTGTCAAGTAATTCTCACAAGATTGCTGCCAGTGAGTAGTTAAAGGGACTCTAGCAGTTTTTTGACATGACATGAATGGAAATTATTTTTTTGAGATTTATACATCATTTGATGTAGGTCTGAACCAGTAACAAGCAAATTTTAAATCATTCGCTCAGTCATTTTTTCCAGAACAATAATCGTCAGGGATTAGAGCCGCTCGTCCTACAGGCTTCAAATTTCTATGCATTCATCGTTAAAAGTAAACAAACTAATTATGAGAATTCTAGCTTTCTATTACATCGGCATTCTACCATTTTTTACTCGTCCTGCATCGATCTCTACTTGCAAATACGAGTGGACAAGTAGAATTTTCGATGCCTGATTGTGAGAAATGGTGTCACAAATAAATCAGGCTAAGAATCATACAAAAAATATGGTTTTTCAATTAAATTCTTTGTATTATTCTTTTTTGTCTTTTGCATATAATTCTGTTTTCAGTGCCTAAGTGATGAACGTAAGAAATTCAAATTTTATATTTCTAGACTTTTGGACCTCTGTGGAGTTCCTTTTAATTACAACATTTAAAGACACATTATGCCTCAGAAATGAAAAAACTTTCCTCTGAAGAAAGAATATACTGTTTTTCATAAGTTTTAATACTACATATCAGATCATATTCTATTCTTATAAAATAATTCCTCATAAAAGCAGCAAAATCTAAAGTCATATTATGTCTCCCATACAAAATACTGTATCATAACTACTTTGCTAACGGCCAAATAGCAAAATACGGTTCACCTATATGGCCAAAGAGTTTGGTTTTGAAAATGTCACTGAGCACCAACAAAACAGAACTTTTGACAATAAAACAAGAGCATTTGTACTTTAAAAACCAAACAAGTTAATGCAGTGGTTTAAGTATAAACACTTACCTTGTTGGAAGATAAAGCCCTGTACGAAAACTACCAAAAATCTCAACCTGAAATATACAAGAAATATTTATATCAAATTCCAATTTAAAGAAAGGAGACCACTACTATTTAAAGCCCTATTCATTAAACTGTTACAAACATTATGTTAACCTAACATATATATATATATATATATATATATATATATATATATATATATATATATATATATATATATATATATATATATATATATATATATATAAAAATTCAAAAACATAAATATCAGGAACATACAGTAAATTAATACCTGTCAAAAACTAAATATGCAAATATATTTTGATATCAAAATAAATTATATTTAAATAAAAAACATTGGAATCTTGCTATCTTTCAAATGAAATCTTACATTATTGTTCAAAAACCATACAATAACTCCTTGACGACAGTTTCATTCATTTTCCAAGACTTCATTTCCGTCTATAAAAACGCTTAAAAAAGCATCTATAACAATCACAGTTTACTGAGGGATATATTTTGATGCATGCTGGGAAAGTGGATTAAGATGGCACACCAATTTAAGCCTATCAGGTTAGCTGTACTTTTAGCCTACAAAGCTACATGTACATCACAAAGTAAACAAAGAAACATCAAACCAGCATGCCAGCCAGTGTTAAATCAATACACCACTTTTTGACATCTTGTAAAGTTTCTCTTTTACTGTGATAAAGATCTTTTTTAAAGTCTCTTTCACAGAACAGCGATTTATTTATGAAGAAAAGCATGCACTGCAACAGATTTACATCTGTGAACTTGTTGATTACACATGATTATAACGAAGTTAACAAAATTATCAGATTTTGTATCACAAAAAAATATATATGCAAATATAAAAATGTTAAAATGAATGACAAAGAAAAACATACATTCATTTTAATTTACATTTGCAAGTTTTTACTGCACCCATTTAGTAATAAAGAAAAATGTGGTAGTAATACTAGTATTGGACTGAATTTGAAAGTTTTGAGACTTACTCTTATAATTGAGTCAGTGATTACTTTTTACAACTTGATGAATATTATTAATTATAGAAGATGTCGCTGCAAAGTTTCATAACTTTCATTATTTTCAATTATTCTTTTATTGTATAACTTTGAATTTGAAAAAAGGCAAAAATAAGTAAATTTAAAAACAAAATACTCGTAATATTACATGTACATTTGTAAGCTTATGAAACTTCTTTGTTACTAAAATGTCATTTTTGCTTAACCATGAAAAATAGCAAGAGCTATCAGTAGTACAGTGTGCTCCACTAGCGACTCTCAGTGCTTGAAAGTAAAACAAGACCCTGGAATTTTCTATGTTCGAAAAAAGGGCCGTAATTCTGTCAAAACCCATGCTAGAGTTATGAACCTTGGACAGTGACCTATTATGCTCTCAAATAAGTGTTGAAGTTTCAACCCATTTCCTTCAATAGCTTTGATGACACCAAACTGCATGCAAAAACTGAACCAAAATGTGAGTGATGACATTGCCCCCAGGGGTGAGTAAAATATCTCTCCCTATAGCTAAAAATGCTCATTCATGGGTGCTTACATGTAATATATCTTGCTAGTTTTAAATCTCTATTTGTTACTTTAACTTAAAATTACAGACAGCACATCTGTGCCTTGGTAAATTAAGTTTAAAACTTACAGTAGCTTGTGGCCATAGGCCATTTATGACGTTTCGTATCCGATCAACTACGTCACCCCTCATGTTGTCCTCCTCGGGTGTCGGGGACATGTACTCGAAGAAATCCTTGATCTCTTCATGGAGCCTGTAAATACAAAATTTGCAAAATTATTCCTTAGGTGCCAGATTTTTAGTTCCGGGATTTAGTACTAGATTTTTAGTTTAGGATAGATTTTTAGTAGCAGTATTAGATTTTCAGTTTTGGGATAGATTTTTAGTTTGGGAAAAATTTTTAGTTTCTGTATTAGATTTTTAGTTTTGGGATAGATTTTTTGTTTTGGTATTTGATTTTTAGTTTCTGTATTCAATTTTTAGTTTTGGGATAGATTTTAAGTTTCGGTATCAGATTTTTAGTTTTGGGATAGATTTTTAGTTTTGGTATTAGATTTTTAATTCTAGTTTTCGTATAAGATTTTCAGTTTTACCACAGATTTTGAGTCAAGATGATGTTTTTTCAGATTGGGAATTGATTTAGTGTGAGAATTAGATTTGAAAATTTAGGACCCATTCTTTAAAGTTAAGTTTGGAGAACATATCAATTGTTTCATGGACATGATTTTTACATTGAATCATGGAGATCAGATTTTTATGTTTACTTTTCATTTTAAGACACATTAACACTGTTATCTTTATATGGCAGATTATAAGGGAGACACAAAGATTTTCAATATATATATTGTTGTTGTTAATGTCATCAGTAGACATACAAGGCATTATTGGTGAAGGGAAATCCCAGATGCCTATTTGTGTGGTATTTATCTGTAAAAGTAGTAAAGACCTACCAACTCACAAAACACGTTAAACAGTATTGAGCACAGTGATGTAAATGGACATAATACTAATAGATATTTACAGAGACCTTTCCATTTAATTAATTGTATATAATATAGATTTAAAATGAATTCTATATAAAATCAAGACAAAATGGAAGTCACTTTACACCTAGCTCTTGTTTCATAATAATATATATTATATTATAATTATATATATCACAGAATATGTAAAACCTGTTATCACCATAACGAACTTGTTCATCTTCATGGACAAAACCATTTATACTTCAAATTAAAAATTTCAAAATAATTACTGACTGAATAGCCAACATTGCAGACTATGATAAGACGGCACGGATACCAACTGATCTTGGTGGCTGCACTGGTCACATGGATAGAATACACTGCCTCCAGCACGCTTGGGTTGAAAAATAAACTGTTTCAAACTTCCAATGTGTTAAGTGTTTGAAACAGTATCCTGTTTTACATAAAGTAGTGATTTTTTTTCTCCCCCTTATTAACCAAAACAGCCCATGCCATTAAAACTGAGAAAAATTAACACAGTAACCAACAGAAAATTTGAACTTTTTAAACGTTGAGTTTATATATAGATCAAAATACATAAATGATGATTGTGCTTTCCATAAAATAATCATATGATTTTAAATAGTTGAGATGATTACAATATACTGAATATTTTGGAAATTTCTTGACAAAATCTGGAATGTTCAACAGTTTAAACCTGGTTATTTCAACTCATAACAATTATTCATTTTAAAATTATAAACATATCTCCTTTTTTCTCCAGATATCCCTATCTCTCCATTTTATCAAAATCACAAGATAAACAAAATCAAAACATCCAATATACTTTAATAGCTGTAATCTATCTGAAACTAAACTAAATAAAGACATTTTTATCTTCTTTACCTATATATATTTATATTTTTGTTTCAGAAATTACACTGATAGTAAAATGTCTGACCTGATTTTCATAACATAAAAGTGGGGTGAGGGGGGTAGGGGGATATCTTCTAAACAAATACAACAGACTTTTAAAAATTAATTTTGCCTACTTTCAAGACTTGTTGATGTAGTAAACTTTAATTAAAATGGCAGATTTCCAGTTAAACTCAGATTTCCAGAGTAAACAAAATAGTGGTCACATTTTTCCCATGAAAAATCAAAACAAACAAAAACAACAACATCAATCCAATTAGTGATTTATGTGACCTACTTACATGTGCAGAGTAAATTCCATGCTACATGTTTTAAAAGGACTCTTAAACTATTGAAACAAAACCTTATCTCAAATCACATTTCGTAACACAGTTATAAATAATTCACTGCAGGTATATTAAATAAGATCTAATTTTAGCACTACTATTGGACTTTAAAACGGTTTCATTTACATTATTGGAAAATACAGCTTTAAATCTTTTATCTATTTTTGAAAAATGCATATATGGTAAATTTCTCAGAAGAACAAAAAAGAAACCGCAAAATTTCCTTGGCCTTTTTCTATTTATAAGTACAAATAATATATAAATGAACTCTATCCTTAGATAGGTTAACCGTCTATTCCTGAATCCAATATATTTTTTTCCTATGATCATTATCAATAAATTATCATTCATAGGTTTTGCCCAGCTTTGTATCTGGAACAGTCTATTCAAGTTTTAAGGGAATTCAAAATCAAAAATCAAGCTATAGCCTCATCATGGCCACACTACATGGATGGATTATCATTTAAAGGCTAGCCTGACATTATGCTGATGACCACTGATGGTTTATCTCACATATTAATTGGGAAAAGGCCTTAACCTCTTGATTTTTGGGGGAAAAAACATCACTTAAAATGTAAAATTGTTAATTTGGGAAGTAAAAAGCTTACAAGTATAAGTTCAGACTTTTTGGAAATCTGCATGATTTTAAAAAAAAATATTGATTGGGAAGAGGCTTTTTTATAGTATTAATGGGTAAAGTCCTTCAAGATTTAATAGGAGCTAACCAGTTATTGCATAATAAATAATTATATCATCATCATCATAATGTAATACCTACATAAATACATATATTATTATAATATAAATACCCTTTTGATATTTTGCAAAAAAACTACAACCTACAAGTTGCCCAGTTGAGTAATACTGGTGAAATTAAACACCCCCACACAAGCCGTGGTGTATACCTAGAGTGCCTCACATTCCTTGTATCTGACACAGTATTTACTGCACTGTAACACTATTACAGAGATGGAGAGAAGTGTTTATGCTGTTGTTTACAATACAGTAGCTAATAGTACACGGTCCCAGTTAAATACTTCAAAAAAAGAAAACTCAGCAAGATTTTTTATCCAAATTTTCAAATATGAAGACTGAAGTACAAAGAAATGTCAACTGCAAAATCATTTTTCCCTTGTATTTACAAGTCACTAACAATGTTCTTTATTTATAAATAAATTTTCAATTAATTATCTTTCAAACAATTTAGAGAATAACAAGTTATTTAGCATAAGACAGCATTTCTTCTGATATGACTTCAGAAATGAGAATAGTAAACAAAATGAAAATAACATGTGCTAGATTAATTATTCCCGCAAAACAATTCCACCTGAGTATCTGAAGTGTTTACCAATGAAATTAGAGAAATGTTTAAGAAACCCTTCTAAAGAAAACTTTTAAATTAAAATGTGAGTGTCATAACTAATTATTGTACATGTTATGTAAACTCAGTTTCAGAGACATAAATAAAATACAGACATGTTTTTTTAAACATTTCACAGTCTCAAGAAAATGGCAACAGATACATTTTAGACAAAACATTTTGGATTGCCGATCTCATTTTTGAATGATCTGCCCTTGAATTTGATTAATTTCTCCTGTTCAAAGTCATTTCATGGGCAAAATAACTTGTTCAACTTCATATCTAATAAAATGCCACTTTCACTTTTCGGCTTATCCTCAATCACATTAGAAATTTTCAATGAATTTTAATTCAATTTTGTTTCCTTTTCTTCAGTTCAAGTTAAGAGACACAAAACAGGCACATCAGTAGAACCACTGACAATCTGTCAACTAGCTGGAAAGATTCCTCTCCACTTTTGGGATTCAAACACATAGTGGTAACGTCCTGTACCAAATTACAGTATCATTGGGGTCAAATACTTTCACTGATTGAAAAGAAAATCTGTAACCTTTATGCCTTGATTAAAAAAACAAAACATCTGGAGTAACAAGTGATAAAATCAAATTTTAACGCATTTATTTTCAATCTTGAAGTTTTACTTTTTCTTGTTTTATTTTGATATATCAATTAATAAGTAAAGCATTTCACTATTCCTCAGGGTAAAGTTATTGTCTGCAAATTATCATAAATGCTGCTTGCACAATTTCAGAGAAATATAAATAAAGCATATATAACAACTGAACATTAAATGAATATATGTAACCCTAAAACAATGAATACAGACTTCCTGAAATACGTCAGTCCTTTGGACATGTCTGATAAATTTTGATTAGGTCCGACGATTTTTTATTCCTGATCGGTCCGACTTTTATCCAAAATGGCGTCGCTAAAGGTGCCCAACATGGGAAAAAATGAAAATCTACGTCAGAGGAGCGCGTAGAACAGCAGTAAAAGGATGAAAAGAATAGACCTGAGACAAAATTTAATGAAAAATGGAAGCAGGACCGTGAATCGTTGGTGTATGACAGGGAGGAGATGAAAATGCGCTGTATGGACTGTGCCGATTTTTACGGCGAAAAAATTAAAACCGAAAAGTGTCTTAGAAATACAAACACAAGTTTTCCTTTGATTTTGATTAATTTTATTCGGTCTGACAGATTTCGTTTCGGTCTGACAGATTTTCATGGTTTGTCAGACCGAATGTCTGACACTTTTTTTAAGTCTGGAATAGGTCAAATTGTTGTAGTGTTTATAAAGTATATGTACAATGTACATGTGATTTTCTTATCTTATTTTGAAAAAAAATGTGTTTTTCTTTGCTTATTTTGAATAATATAAGGACTTAAGCATTCTGTAATTTCTTTCCTGAACAACATTAAAAGTGTCTTAGGAAAAACCTTGGAAGAATTTAAAATCAGCAGAACTAGATACCTATATTACTTTTCTTCCTTACTTTTTTTGTACAAAATATTTTCTAATGGCATGTGCAGGTTTATAAACAAAACAGTATTTTAAATAATTATAATAAATACCTTGTCACAAACTTACAGACAAAAAGGATTTATCCGTTGATAACTGTTTTAATAATTGGTCATTTACCTCAATGCTCAACAACCTGTGACAAGTTGGAATCAGGGTCAGCTCGGTCCTTAAGCTACATGAAACTCCCTCCCAAGTCATCCTGGCCCAATACAAACTTGGTATCCTGTGTCAACTCAGTTTGTATTAATATTACTGTTCATAATATTCTAATTTCTATGCATTGTCTTCTTTCTATTTTCCTCAAGCATAAAAGTCATTATGAAATAGTGTTCAAAAACACAACTTATACCAATGGTGGTGGTAGTGTTGGTAATAAGCCACATTGAATTTACCAGCCACCGCATTGTTCCTGGACAGGCTGTCAAGCAGTTTACCAGTACTAGTTGTCTTCACTTTCGCAAGGAACTGATTTCTTCTGTACATACAAGAGCAGAGGTACAGTGTGAATGACCGTAGAAAGGATTTCATGATCAATGAATCACAACGAAAGTGACCTGCACCGTCCTGGAATCGAACCCGGGACACCCAATTCACAGTCCAACGCTCTATCTATTGAGCTAACCAGGCGCCCTTTTTATACCAATGGTTATTTACAAGTTTCGGTTTTAAGGAATGACTTTTTTTATTATCTGTACAATTATGAGTACAGGTATTTTTAAATGAAACTTTACAATCTGCAATACCCAAGTAATTTTGTTCCATATCTTTTTTGTACAAAAGATTTTTAAATGGCATTACTGGTTATACAGAACCAGGGTTCTCACTAGGACTCTTTAACATGGAGTCCATGGACTCCCAAGCCTGAAAAAGTTGGAGTCCAAAAGCACGTCGCAATATGTTTACAGATAAGTCATTTAATGCTCACACAATAGCATTACTGATATTTTGAATCTTCAAGAGACTTTCAAAGTTTATAGTTATTCAAAACAAACTCTGAACTACATAGTATAATTATTGTTTTGTTGTTTATATTTATTATGAAACAATAAAATTATAATGCATCAACACGTGGAAATCGGTTTTTTTTTTTCACTTTTATACCAAATCAAATTTTATTCTGGTTAGATAAGTCCACCCTAAAGACCAAAAGTTAACTTTTGTATATAGGCAGCCTTTAGCAGAATGAATATAGGAAAATCGTGTACATTTTCACACATTATATAAGAGATTCATCCGATAAACAATTATTTTGCATATATCTTCAAAGGGGGCAAATTGAAGATCGATATTTAAATATTTAATGTTGATTAAATATCAAAGGAACAATTTATTCACATGTTTGGCTTGAAAACTGAGAATTTTTGTGCCCTTTGCGAAATTTTAGGGTTTATGGCGAATATGAAATCGTCGATGTTCGGATAGAATCTAAATATCAAAGAAAAGCGTATGTGTATTTTGGTTTGTTGTCCTGGCATTTCGGCACAATATCTTAAATTCTTAATACTCTTATAGAACGTTTTAGCAAGAATGAAACTAAAGCAAAATTTTGACTAGAAAATGCCGAAAATATTCGACAAAAATTAAAAATTACACTCATTTGTAATTTGAGAAAACAGTCTTTAAACTTGCGGCGTAAACAGTCAATAGTTAATCCTTTTGTCGGTAAAATTAAGCTACGCGGAATCCTTGCTCTGAAATATTTGCGTCCAGCTGTAATAAACATGCGTACCGGGATGCCAAAAAAAGCGTCCCAGAGAACCCTGAGAACAAGGATCTTTATAATGAATAAAATAACTGTAGACAATTAGGGACATAAAAATCTATATACCAGGCCAAGTTACACCTGTTCTGAATTGACCAGTGCCCAGTACTTACCCATATGGTTAAGGCCGAAATGAACCTTTATTGCCTGTGTCTAATTGACTCTATACTGATAACCCAAAAAAGATTCAAAGATTATTTCTTAGGAGCTTTATATTCTATTTTTACATATATAGACGGTTGATTAGGCATGGACATAGATCTTTTTCTTGAAGTTGTAATCGATTCTGACCACTTATAAGAGATTTTAATGCTTGTTAAGTAGAGATATCTATTTTTTGTATGTAGTTATCATTTCTGGCCAAAATTTTGAAAAGTTACAATACATACAAATAAATAATATGTAACACAAAATTACCTGTTAAATCCAGTATCAATATTCAAACTGATCCTACATGTACACAATATTTTAGTGACCTTGACCCTTGTATTTTCTGAAAATTATTATATAAATCTTTAATTTCTATAGAAAATTGAAATTACCCAATATGTCCTGGTAGTTTATACTGTTTTTCTCTTGGTTTCCAAGGTGTTAATCCTCCATCTTCTCTGAGAAAATGTTTATTAGAAGAATGATTCAAGCCATAGGTGCTGGCCTTATTATCCCATTTTCTTTTGTATTGATTCTGTGAGTTCTGAATGCTATTTTGTCTGTTATTCACAGCAACCTTTTGATCAAAATTATTAGCATAGTTTAGTGGAATGTACTCTTGAGCTTTTTGGTCCAAATTTGGATTTGAATTGTTGAGGGACATGTTGTCCACGCCTATCTCTGCCTCCCAGATAGTTGTCCATATATCGTGCGCCAATCCCAAATGTTCAGGCGGATACCAAGCTATCCTTGGATCCATGCACACGGTGTTTCCCGTATATATAACGTAAAGACTCCGTTTTACCTTTTTCTCTCATAAAACCGTTGAAATTTGTCAAGTTGCTGTGTTCAGCATGTTCGAATTTCACGGGTACCACTAAAATACGCAACGGAGATTTTTTGGCGCAACGGACGCAACGGGCGCAACGGAGATATTTTTTTAGAAAAACCGGCACAACGCCTTTTTTAAAGTCAATGTGCTATATTTAAGCATCTAAAATGATTGTTTGGCACTATTAAGTAAGTATGTTTTAAAATGTTTCATAAATTGTATATGTTTAATTGCACTGAAGGGTTATATGCCTGGCGAAATGGAAATTTCATGGCGAGATATTGTTTAGAACAAACCGACACAACGCCTTTTTTTTGAAGTCAATATGTTATAATTGAGCATCTAAAATGATTGTTTAGCGCTATACTATAAAGTAAGCATGTTTTAAAATGTTTCATAAATTGTATATGTTTACACTGAAGGATTATATATGCCTGGCGAAATGGAAATTTCATGGCGCAACGGAGATAATTTTGGAAAATCGGCACAACGTATTTACTAATATATGAAATTAATTAACACCAATGTTAAAAAAAAAGAAAGATATAAAAACCTTAATCGTATATCAAATAATCAAATAGCTGCAATGTTGATGTTGTAAAGGATTGTGTGTCGGCGAAAAGGACATTTTGTCTGCGCAACGGAGATTTTTTTTTTTTTGGCGCAACGGAATTTAAAAAGAAAACAATGTTTATCCTAATTAAGCAGTAATATGAAGAAGTAAATCGTTAAAGATATTAACTGAATTATTTAAGTGGTGTAATAAAAGTCTGTTTTATTAATTTAAAAATGGAATTAAATACGTTAATTTTTATCGTTCTGCCTGACATTGAAAGACAAGTATGGATTCACGGATTTATATTATGTCAATTAAAGTCCGTGATGGATTTTACAATCCGTTTCATTTTTTTCCCGTTCAATTCGTTATGTTTACGAAAAGTACTGTAATAGCTTTTCTATACATAATTTTCAGAATTTTACTTGAAGAATACGAAAAGTCCGTAGTGCATACGCTGTAGACTTTCTAATGTAATCTTACGAATAAATTATCAAATTTCAACAAAACGCTGCTTAATGGCTTTACTGCTGCACAAAGAAATACGTTTATTTCCGTCATGGCTGATATTCGAAGATAAACATGAGTCTTTAAATCTGTTTCTTTTTTTCCGTGTATTACGTTATATTTACGTTAAATATTGTAATGACTTTAATCAATGACATGCATGTAACATAACATAACATAATCTTTATTTCTCTCAATACATGTATACATGCAAATACATGTATGAGGAATTTACAATAAATGATATAATCATACGATATAATCATACGAGGCTCACAAAAAAATAATTAACGAGTGACATCAGTATTTATTTAATGTTGATTTAAAGTGAGCATTCCCCCGTCTCCAGCCACCCACGTGTCTCTAAATAGCGAAAAAAAATTTCAAAACTTATATTTCATTTTTTTCTCTCTTTCTCTTTTTCTCATGATTTTGCAGCATTGTAATACTCATTGACCGGATACTGTATTATTTTGTGTTAATGTAAATTTCGTAATAACCCCATGTTGTACGATATGATATCTTCATGTACCTGGGTGAATAAAAAGATATGTTCTGTTCAAAAAAAGAAAAAGAAAAAAAAAACCGTTAAAACCAAATGCAGCTACTGTTATATAGCGAAACAACAGCAATTTGGCAGAATGTTTATCACGGGTTTAATCCGATAATTAAATTACCACTGACACGTGGTTGATGTTTATTGGACACGCGTTTTCACACCATTTAGATAATGTGATTAAGAGGAACATGAAGAAGAAGAAGAAAAAATAGTTTATTTCGGTAACTTATACATTTACAGTATCTCGTTACATACAATAATTACAAATATAATAATTCTGTGGTCACATGACAAAAGCAAAGAAAAAATAATAATAAGAATATAAAAAGTTTTAACTGATGACATTCTAACGGAGAACAGACAGCTGCAAATAAAGGAACAAAAAGCATCACAATTTCATTATCATTCATAGAAATAAAAAGTTCCAGTAAGAAGAAAAACACCAAAAACAGAAAAGACGTGACAATAACAGCGTCAAAAGTATAATATTACATGTATCTTTCTAACGATAATAAGGATAATAAGTTGAACCAATTAACATTTCAAAATGTGTTATGAATTAACAACGGATAGTAACAATTCTTGTCGCTTTTTATTAGCTACATCTATATATTTTCCTAAATTTACAAGTATAGCTTTATTATCTGATTGTAGTAAATCTACTAATTTATACATAGAAGGTCTAATATAGTAATAATGTATTGACTTTAAGGTATTAAATATCTTTTATAACTTGTTATTGTCGAAAATATTACAATTGTTAAAAGCATTAAACACCCGTGCCATACACGTGCCTATGCATTGCTAATTGCTAACAATTCTCGCGTAATTGATTACCTTTTGTCAATATCATAATTATGAAATATTTTGATTGCTTTGGATGAAATATACAATGTATACACAACAAACAATTATTGAAAAAGTACACAATGATTAATGAAAGATAATAAATTAATAAAATAATATAATATGATAAAATTGTTATGATAATCCCCGTTGCGCCGAAATGTGTCCATTTCGCCGTAATTTAAATATCTTACAATGTCCTATTTTCAACATTTTCTAAAATAAAGGAAAGTAAATCATTTTTAAAAGACTGTTACTTATTATTCTCAAATTCTTAAGTTATGTTCAAACATAAGGTCTACCCGTTATGCAAATCTTCATTTTCCGTTGCGCCGAAATTATGTCAATTTCGCCGTCCATTTAGAATCTGATATAATCAGTATTCTACCTAATAAATTCAAACTTATACAGTATATGTAAAAAATATGTATAAAATATCAACAATACCAACTTATATGATTATTTTGTGTTTTAGACATAAAAAAAAACAGTACAAGTACACAGTTTTGAAAATAAAATCTCCGTTTCGCAATAATCCATCGGCGCAACGGAGTTTAATAATGAAACGTATAACAACAATACAATGAATGTTTATAATAAAAAAAATATGAACATTGATTCTGTAATATCAACATATGACTTTATTTAGTATAAACTAATGCAAATTCAATTAAAAATTATGTATAGAAAAGCTATTACAATACTTTTCGTAAAAAATAACGAATTGAACGGGAAAAAAAATGAAACAGATTGTAAAATCCATACTTGTCTTCCAGTGTCAGCCATAACGATAAAAACGTATTTAATTCCATTTTTAAACTAATAAAACAGACTTTTATTACAACACTTCTGTAATTCAGTTAATATCTTTAATGATTTACTTCTTCATATTACTACTTAATTAGGACAAACATTGTTTTCTTTTTAAATTCCGTTGCGCCAAATAAAAATCTCCGTTGCGCAGACAAAATGTCCATTTCGCCGGCACACAATCCTGTACAACATCAACATTGCAGCTATTTGATTATTTGATATACGATTAAAGTTTTTATATCTTTTTTTAAAATTTATTTATTCAAATAACATTTCATATATTAATACATACGTTGTGCAATTATCTCCGTTGCGCCATGAAATTTCCATTTCGCCAGGCATATATAATCCTTCAGTGTAAACATATACAATTTATGAAACATTTTAAAACATGCTTACTTAAAAGTGCTAAACAATCATTTTAGATGCTCAAATATAACATATTGACTTAAACAAAAGGCGTTGTGTCGGTTTTTTTCTAAACAATATCTCCGTTGCGCCATGAAATTTCCATTTCGCCAGGCATATAACCCTTCAGTGCAATTAAACATACAATTTATGAAACATTTTAAAACATACTTACTTAATAGTGCTAAACAATCATTTTAGATGCTTAAATATAGCACATTGACTTTAAAAAAGGCGTTGTGGCGGTTTTTCTAAAAAAATATCTCCGTTGCGCCCGTTGCGTCCGTTGCGCCAAAAAATCTCCGTTGCGTATTTTAGTGGTACCGGAATTTCACAATCTGATTTGTCCACTGCGCATGCGTACGTCAACTTGGTGTCAATTAAACGAAAAGTTGGTGAAAGAAGCGAAATGTATTACAAGTTGTTGTGCAATGTTATAAAACCAGGACGATTTTCTAATTTTGAATGCCTGACTTAAAACAAAAGATGATAAAGAAAATAATTCATCGTAAAATACATTTTATGTGATAAATGATACATTCTCATTGAATTCTCAAATGATACATTCTCAACTGTTTTTGGGACAGAAAAATGTGTGTGTTATATATATCCTGCCTCATTAATTGTTGCTCGAAGCAAAATTACAACGTTATTTCATGAAAACATGCCAATAATGAGTTTCTTATTAAAGAAAAGTATTAAATGACAAAACATTAACGACCCATCAATATGTTCACGCTTAGAAAAAAATCTAAAATTACTAGTAAAAAAATAAATTATTCTACCAGGCAATTAATTATAATGTCTTACTCTTGTACTATCGATCATTCACGTAGAGAAGTAATTCCAAACGTTTACTGGTTATTCTGACTCAAGACTTTAATGTAAGTAAAATCTAAATTGGCTTTTTTACCGCTTGATAAATATTTTAAATATAAGAATGTTTATGATGCATGGCCTTTTCACACAACTTGATACAGCTAAAATTTATATCTAATTAATTAGTCAGATTATAATGATATCAGGTCAATCCACAGAGCTATATTTGAGGCGCGTCATGACAAAACCAACATAATGGGTTTGCGACCAGCATGGATCCAGACCAGCCTGCGCACCCGCGCAGTCTGATCAGGATCCATGCTGTTCGCTAACAAACCCTATAACAAGTAGAGAAAGTGATAGCGAACAGCATGGATCCTGATCAGACTGCGCGGATGCGCAGGCTGGTCTGGGTCCATGCTGGTCGCAAACCCATTATGTTGGTTTTGTCTTGACGCGGCTCATTTAGTCTGTAAAAGAAGTCTCTGGTTAAGAGTTCCCCCTTTGTAATTATCTTGATTGA